TGCAAACATGCCAGTTATTATGTGACAGTTGCATTACGCAGCTTATTCGTCACAGGCCCTTTCGTAACCCAGTCTATAAAGTTGTGCCACACAGATATTTTTAAAAAACATGGTTTATTTATAACGATCTAGAGGCTTTTATTTTATGCATCTGGGTTAAACTTGTAATTGCATCCTTGCTGCACAGACGGGGAGAACGAGGCATTTAATGAAGGACGAGAAAGAGAAAAAAGAATCAGAGGATTGAAATCTGCATTCCTTCTCTTTTATCACTTTCATCCTTGTTTACGTTCTGGAAACTTCTTCACTGCAGCAGATATTCCTGTTCACTTCTTTGCCACTCCCTCCAGTTTTGCTGTCTCTTTCCCTTTATCCTCCTTTCTGTCCCCTTTTCTTGCTGTGTGCTTTTTGCTTCTCACCAACATCCCCCACTCCTTCCTTCCTTTCCCTTAACACACGATCTTCTCACTGCTCAAACAACAAATCGTTGTTGGCAACGATGGCGATGGATCAAGTGACAGCCTGTTAGTCTGCAGACCTATAGCCCCCTCTTTTAAGTCCTCAATGTGAAAATCTATGCTGGTGGAGTGCAGTTCATCCACAGCTCTGAATATGGAACAGCGTTCCCAGTGTCTGCTTACCAAGCACATTACAGATGCTTCCTTGCAAGTAAACATAAATACAAGCACACCTTGCATTATCACTCTGAAACAACACCCCAAACTGAGCCGATGATCTAAGATGTGAGGATTTTTCTTGTTTATGTAGGTCATTGCAGAACTAAAGTGACCATGCTCCTGAGCAATAACACAAATTATCAGAAAATATGTAGTATAGTTTTCTGTGTTTCAAATATCTATTTTTTTGTTGTTGTAGCTGAAATATATAAAATCCTACATTTATTTTGTGCAATTTGGGAATCAAAGAAAGCAAAATTTCTCTATTCTGATTGGTTGGAAGGAAACGTACGTCTTGCTCTGATCTGATAAGAAAAAAATCAAGTAAAATTGTCACAATGTATAGTTTATCCAACAATGTTAAACTCTAAAACTTCTGTAGTTTATTTTTAATTAATATTAAAAAAATAACGGTTCCCATCGTAAATAAACTTTCAATACTTTCAAATAATATGAGGATTTTCAGAGAAAAGCACAAACAGCACTGACTATACCCAACTTTCTCCTTGTTATACAGTCAAAATGGTAAACACACTGTTCTAGACGGATGCAGAATAACTTTATCATGCATTGTTATTTCTTTCCTTATTTCCTGTCACTTCTTACCTACCGTATCTGGATGTCCCACAAAATGCTTTTAGCTTGTCAAAATGCTCCAGCAAGTGCTCTACAAGAATTAATTGTGGAAGTTTTGACGTAACTTAAATATTTTTCCTTAGATGTATGGCTTTTAATACTAAAGCTTACTGTTCCATATATTCCCAGTAGTACACTTTGATTTCAGACTGCAGTGTCGTTCTCTGAGTTCCTAAAATCAGATCTTCCAAGTACAATGTTGCTAATCCAGATCCCAATAAGCCACAGGTTTAATTATACTGACATGCCCAGCTAAATGACAGGCATTTACCTACTCTACTCTTTTATAATTATTGATGTACTAATGAATTGATATTTCAAAAAACGTTGTCTTTACATCCGTCTCTTGGTAGGTGTGATTTCTCAGTTTTTCTGTCTTGTCCCCTGCCAAGTCAATAAGGTTTGATTCTGAGTTGTTCTGCTCAAGGTCTCTTCTTGTTTAGCAGGATCTTTTCCCTCCCACGGTTGCTTGCTGCTCTGAGAAGGCAATGCTTTTTCCAAATCAATGTTTTTTGTGTTAATGCTGATTTGCTTAACTGAACTTACATTCACTCGTCTCTTTCTCTATTCTCCTTCTTAATAAAGTCACTTGTTAACACAAAAAGGAAATCGGCCAACCACATGGAAGCAACTCAGTGCATTTAGACTTAGTGAAGACAATCTGTAGATCTCCAAGCTCAGACTCAGAACGAGGAAAAAAAGAGATTTAAGTGACTTGGATCAAGACACGACTGTTTATCCCAGAATGTGCATTAAATAAACATGCCAGTTAATGTTTCACCTAAAACAAAGACATATTCAGATTATTGCAAATTTGTCAAAATGACTTTAAATGGTGAAGTCTACATGCTGTAACTTGACACAACTATTACATTTCTGAAGTGAAATATATTCCCCATAAGACATTTCCCAGCTCTACTCCTGTGAAAAACCTCACCACAGCTCTTAACAAGATGTATGTGAGTTCTCGACTCCCAGCCTGAGCCCGAGATGTCCGATAAGCTTTAACAAACTTGTACCACTTTTACAGGTGAACCACAAAGGACAGCTCGTTCACAAATGTCACAAGCTAACACAGAGCAGCCATTCATGACTGAGACAGTCAACACATCCGAAAGTGGAGCAGAGGAGGACCGGCTTGAACACGCCTCCCTTCTGAATTCTTAAAATCCTGCTAAAGGTTGCAGAGCAGCTGAGAGTCTGCAGGTTTCCTCTGAGGCAGACAGAAAAGACAGAGGAAGAGAGAGAATCATAAAAAAATGGCTTGCAAAACCAGAATTGGAAATATAAGGAGACCTTGACACTTAACCTGCTTTTATTAAAACCTGTCTACTTGAGGCAAAGAGGATAAGATGTACATATCACATAGGACAGCTTATGGAAATCGATTTTTTGTTTTTTGAATGTAGGCTTACTGAAACGCAGGAGGGAAGAAGGAGAAAACACATGGGAAAACGGGCAAGAAAGTTGAAAATGGGGAAATAATTAAAAAGGATGGAAAGATGGAAGATGGAGAGACTCAAAGGCAAAAGGAAACTGGGGCAGAAGCAGGAGGAAACAGAATGTTGGTGTTCTTTAAAGTTGAGCCATCACCATTTCCTATCTGCCTTCACATCTGAAACATTAAAGGAGTGTTCGATGATCTAGTCATTGCCTACTATAAGGAATACATATGAGACGACGCAGAACAAGACCTCACCATATTTCCCTGATGACCAGAAAACCCATTGAAATTGGAAAATGATCTTGTCATTTGTGATGTATATGAAAGACTGGAGTGTTTTTTCTGAGAAACTCATGGTAATCCTCAGGTTTAATTAGTGTTGGTTAAGTGTTTGTTCCTTTGTAATCATTTAGTTCCTTTTTTTAAGTAGTAATATGTAGGTTAGAGTTTGTATTGTTCTGACAAGAAATTCTTAATTCTAAGGAATATAAAGAAATCTTAAGTTTGTTTGTTGAAATTTGGAAACTGATCGATTCATAAACATTAATTCAACCTGATGCAGTTTAAACTTCTTTAAAAGTAATGTGAGTTAACCTGCAGACCACAGTCTTTAGTTTACACGTGCAAACACAGCATAGGTCTACTGAGAGCCACATAAATTTGCACAAGAAAACAACCTAGATCTAAAAAACAAATACTGTTCAAAGCAGGAACTCAGATAACTGCATGTGTTTCAGCAGCTTATAAACTCTATACTTATTTCTGTAAAAAAAAAGGTTGTATAATTTCTCATTGATCTGCCTATCAACAACACTTCTGAGTAGTTTTGCAAGTGTGTATTTATGTCTTATGCATCCTTATTCATAGAACATTCTCTTATTTAAAACGATCCCAGAATCAGACTTTCTCTTTCACTTAAAATATTCAAATAAATGCAGTGTTAGGCTGAATCAGCCAATAGTGAATCTAAGAAGAATTTTAATGCTGTTTTGTTAAATGTACCCAGATTAATTCTCATATAGAAAACACTATTTAAAATCGGGTACCCTCTCAGTCTCACCCTTCTCTTAGATTCAGATCCTCTAATTCCCCTTATGTCTTGTCATGATTCCTACCCATGACTACAAAGTTGCATTTCTTTCCTTGTGCTCCGGACATCACAAGGCAACCGAATATGTTGAAATTACTGCTGCATCCTGTCACAGCATCCATATGATCACTGAGTTACTGTGCAATATATGCAGAGCAAAAAATCTCCTAAAGCAAAACTCAACACTATGTGGAAGAATATGAGGAAGTGACACAAAAAATCTATATGTACATTAGATTAAAGGCTAGATAGGGTTAGTGAGATATTTTTCAAGTATCAAACATTTCTTTGATCAGATCAAATTACAATTAAAAGTAGAACTGAAAGGGGAAAAAGAAAGAACTCTGTAATCTTTTTTTATGGCAGGAAAATCTTGATTTGTTTTCAGGCTGTAGTTTAACATTTTGCTTAAAGTTTCAGTTTCCTCCAGCAGAACTGCCTGAGACAGAACTGAGCTAATGTTTTTCTTTCTACTGTTTTGCAACAAAAGTGTGACACTTTAACTCATGTTTTCCAGAACAGAGTTTTTCAAATGATTATTTTCTTGTTTTTAAAAGAAAAACATTATCCAAACCAATCTGGTATTATGGGGAAAAAAAGTGTTTCCTCCTCTCATCCATATTGACGTGGACAGGTTTTGGCCTATTATTCTTTGCCGAATTGCATAATTCAGCCGCACTGAAGTATTTTTAAGAATAAACAGACTGTCTGAATTCATAACAGCTTTTCAGTTTAATTCTGTCCTTTGACTAGGCCATCAGGTTGGTTTGGATAGCTTTTTTTGTCTTTATGCATCAAATAAACATTTGAAAACTACTGTTATTCAGGCTCTCTATCTCTGCTATTAAAACTGGGTTGACCCAAAAATATAGCAAAAGAATTAAAGGGTCAAATACTTTTTCATCCAAATTTAACCTAAATGCTCTAATTACAACATACCAAAGCATATCCTACTTTAAAATGATATACAAAGCTGTTTTGCAGTCAAAAAACACACATTTGGATAAAACAATCTTCTTATCAAATGGCAATTGGGAAATCATCTGCTCCTAAAAAGTAATTACTGCTGAACATAAATATCCAGCAGAGTCACTTTATGCCTCCATATGTGCTCTTACTAGAGGTTTAAATAACGTTTGTTTTAAATGCTTACTGAAAGCTGCCACAGCCAGGATAAGTGTGACCACAATGGAGACCCAGGAGACCCAGAGAGCTTTCTTCCTGTAGTTCTGAGCCTCGTGGGGCTTCAGGCGCAAGCTGCTCTCAAGAAGACCTGCAAAGAGGAAACGTACACAAAAAATGTCACAAGGACGCTTCTGTCTTTCTTCTTGAGTCATTATGATTTTCTGTGTTACTTTGTGATCATATCAGGCACCCTCAGGAAATGTAAGAAATGATTCAATCTATCCATCTCCTTTGTACAAAGAAGAATGTTTGTTTATGGGAGGGTTATCTTAAAAAATGTTCATTTGATTGACTCAGTTTGATTGGTGTGCTACTGTAAATCAGAAAATCAGAGTTTCGTTTGGCCAGCTCAAGTAGCTGAAGTAAGATTGATCCTGCAAAATAACAGTGACCAAAAACACACCAGTAAATCCAGCATGAAAAATTCACCGGTCAACATTTCCTCAGACTGGTAGATGGCCACAAGAAGCGTCTCAGTTGAACATACATTTATGTTGATATTATTTGTTTTCTTTCCCAGCAATGAATTGGTGAAAATAAAAATTGGACATCAACTTTTGAACATTTCCTTTGGAAGAACTTGATACATTGTGGGGTGTCCCCATAAAATATTCACGACTGCACATATGGTGCTCAAATGGTTTTCCCAATATCGGTAGTACTTAGTCAACCCAAGGGGATCCCATACATGACGCCCATTTTGTTCCCAGATGCACTTAGTATCAAAATTCATTATCTTTTATCAGAAAAACCTTAGCTGAACAGCCTACCAGAGTAAACTGAGATTTCACTAAGGCAGAATAATTTTCAAAAATGAATTGGATGAATTTTCTAATCGCTTTGTCCACCTATTGTGTTTGAGAAAGGTCCTTGCCTGAAGTCACAGACTAAATAGCCCAGATTTCTAACAGCCGGCAGCTCCGTGTCATGAAATGTGAGGATGGCTCTGCAGAGTCATGAATTATTCAAGAGCTTGAACTTTTACATCCAGGAGATTTTAATGCTGTTGGCTATAATCGTATCCTGAAATTTGTATCGCACATTGTTAGTGGAACCACGAACCAGGACAAAACCAGTCAGACGAGTGTGGAGCTACGAATTTAAAACAAAACATTTTAATATGTGCCTTCCTTGAGTTAGAAAGTTACAGAACACAGGACGGCTTGCAAGTAATGCAACATCTAAATAATATTGAAATATAGAAAATAGAGTTTCTCTTGTTATAAAAATATTGATGAATAAGCATCTTCCTCGAGATGAAGTCAATCAAAAAGCACGGGAAGAACCTTAACCCACAGCAGCAGGATAACATGCATCCAGAATCTCCATGGCAACCAGCAATTGAACCAGCCCATGTCCTGACAACTTTGATTACTGTTTTTCTGTGTGACGGCTCTGATGCAACATCTCAAAGCACAACCACATACATAAAACCTAACTTGAGCTGCCAGCTGCCTGCTCAATAGTTGCTCATGCATTTTTTTAATGAAAACTGTCTGTTACTATCCACACATTATTGCATTTTATCCTAATTTTCACTGAAAACTGAATCGTCCCTGTGGAGTAGCTCATGGTGTCAAAAGCAAATAATTTCTTACCCTGTATGTTTTATTAAACTTGAATTTTTTATTTTTTTAATAAAGACAATGCATACTTGGATAAAGCTAAATCACTGCTGTGCATCATTGTTTATCATTTAGAAAGAAAATGTTGCTTTCTGAGCAAAAGAAAACAAGCTGCATCATAAAAACTGCTGCAGCACATAGGAAAAAATAGCAATTAAATATAATGAAACCTATAACTTCTGATTCATTTTATTATATGTGTTGTTTTTTTGTATAACCCTTTTTTAGTATATGTGGAAAAAATGCCTTCAATTGAGTGAAATGCATAGACAAAAACCATAAGAAATGTGGTCTGACTACAACTGTATATTGTTAGTCAAATTATAGGGAGTGTAGAACGACAAGTCAGGGATTTTAATATGTTGGTGAGACAACAACTTTGTCTCAACTTTGTCTCACCAACAATTTGATCTGAGACAACAACTTGACCAGTAAATCATCAAAACAGCCACTTTTTGTTTGGCTCTCAGGGGTCTTGAATTTTTTTCTTGTCGGAATTTTTAGTGTATTTTTAAGAAAAAGTGAAAAAGAAGATGGATGAATGGATGGACAGAAAGATGTATAGCCAAAATGACTGGATTTTTATATAAAATATAAAATCAAAGCTATGAAAATGGGCCCTCTGATTTTTACTGTCCTCTCGTTGACCTCGACCATTTACTGAAGCTCTACTGCATCTAATTCCTATGAAGATTTTAAAAATCCAAAGGAAAAAAAAAGAATCACATGCCTCCAAATGGGATCTTAGATCTGCTCTGATCTGGTGGCCTCTGGCAGATTAAGTAGTAAAGGATTGTTTACACAGAGAAATATCAGAGATGAGACTTAGATTAGAGGAAATAAATATTTCAGTTTATAAAATACAGGTTTTATAACTGCTTAGTCTGCAGGACAAAAAAGTAGTTATTGCAAAAACACCACTAATATCTGAAAAAGCCATTTAAGGCCTGCAGGTTTAGTGTTGAAAAACCAACCTGTTTGCTTGGATTATGTATTTTGGGAAAAAAGAAAAATTACAAGAGACTCTCATCAGTATGATGGCACTCAAATGATCTGTCATTGCCTAAAGCTAAGTTTTGGTTTGTTAGATGTAAGAATGGAGGCATTTTATATAAAACTGTAGAGTCATGTTACAGTATTTGAACATATTTTTCCAGACAAAGAAAATAGCACTTTTTTTTATCAAATACATCTAAGTTATACTTCCAATAAAGATGCTGAATACCTTAAATACTGACTTTATAATCAACCATTTGATCTAGACCATTTGTAACACCAAACTTCTCTTCTTTAACTTGTATAGACAGGATTTAATAAAAGTTATTCTTGAAATATTAAAGACTATTTTGGTGATGGACTCCACAAGGAGGCTGAAAATTCATTGAGAAGATATAAACTTGGTAAAATTTAAACTGTCCAGCCTCAGCGTGTGTGTGCGTGGGTGTGTATGTGTTAGAGAGGGGAAGTGAGACAGCGTGGTAAATCACTCTGCTCACATGATTCCTGGCTGGAAGAACAGACAGAAGGCATGTGTTCGACATCTATTCACAACCCACATCTCTCTGTGACTCATGCACAGGTTTCTGCACACTCTTCTGAGCGCAAGTGTGTGTGTGTGTGTGTGTGCGTGTGTGTGTGTGTGTGTGTGTGTGCATGTGTGTGTGTTGGCATTTTGTCTTTGTCACACCTTTACCCAAAAAAAAAGAACATCAGGTCAACGTGGTGAATTAATTTCACTGAGACATGAGTAATTAAAACAACTCAAGAGAAGTATGTAGCATTATTTACACTTCCGTAAAACTAAGAAAACTAATCAAAACCTTGATTTAAATTAATTTACCATGAATAGGTGGAACAATCAATCAGATTTTATGAACTGAATTTGCCATATTTATGTCAGAGGAATTTCTCAACATTTTTATGCTAAACTGTCTTTATTTGCAATGACTTGCAAAAACAATTGTGATTATAGTCACATTTTTCACAAACTGCCATTTTATTGGGACTCTATGGGATAGGCCAACTAAAGTAGTCCATTATCATGAAAATGAAGAAAATTAGATATTGTTTTGCATCTTTAAAAAAATAAAAAAATATTGACAAAATATAGGAGCAGCAAGAAACAATCAACTGTTGAAAGAAAGCTACTGAAGGAATTAGCCCTATTTTTAAGTTACAGCAGGTCATATAGACGACACAGCAGACATGTTCAGAGTGGATGAAGATAAATACAGAGCGATCCTGGAAGAAAACTTATTAGAAACTGTAAAAGATTTAAGAATAAAAAGAAGGTTTGGTGTAAACCTCTACTAAGTATTGAGTTGATGTGATTTGTTGACGTCTGCACTTGGTTTTGGAGAACTGACCACAGGTTCTCATCGAGGTTGCGATCTAAGGTGTTTCCTGGCCACAGCTCCAAAATGACATTGTTTGGTCACTGTTGCCTTTGACACAGGGATCTGGGTCCATTCTCATCTGCTCTGTTTAAACCATTTTAAGTGAACTAAAGTTCATTTATCTAGAAAGTCTGGTTTGTTTGCAGAGGTGTGAATGGATAATCAAACTCTGATGTGGACTCTAGTTCACCTACAAAGATCAACATTCTGTCGCTCCCTCTTCAATAAAAGAGGCTCCTGGCCTTCGATTAGGAAAACTGGTCTGGAAGCTGCAATATTTTTAGTGGCAACCTTTAGCTACAAGCTGATAATGGCTTCACATTGTTCTTTGGACGGAGCTACTTCTTTGTCACTCCTTTACATAAATTGTTCTGCTAATAAGATCGATAATAGCAATTTAATCTGGAGTCTTGCACAGCTTCACTCGTGTTTATGATATGACTTTATATATATTAGGTTAACTCATCATTTTTGGCCAGAGCAACACTCCAGAGGAAATGAGTTTTCTCAGAGAGTCAATACCTTCTCCTAATAAATCTCTTTGCAATAAATTAATTTGGATTTGATCTCTTCACAGGATAATGCAAAGTAATCCCAACGTTTGTGTCACTTTCAAATGGTGCATGGGTCACGACAGAATCTGTGTAGCTTGGTGTAGTTTTTAAAATCCCAGTACAGTCAGATGGATGGGTTAGGATGTTATTAAACGAGAATCTGTTATTTAATTCTCATATTTTTATATCCCATATATTGTTTTTTGAACAGAATATTTTGTAGAGTTTCTCAGCTGGGAATAAGCAGGTGGTGTGTATAAATTAAAAGTAACTATAATCAAAGTCTCTAATATTTAGTAATAAAATACTGCGTGACGTCTAGGCTAGTTGGAGGTTTATAGTCAGGCCTGAGAAAACCCTGCAGATGATGGGGCAAAGTCAGTCTCGTCAGATGTCTTAGATTTAGTAGGCAGTATATTTTTCTAAGCCAAAAGTCTAAATAAAGAAAATCTGAGGGTTTGCTTTTCTTTTTAGTCCTCTGATGGATCGGTGGCCTGTCAGAGGTGTACCCTGTCTCCTGTTCAGTGTCAGATAGACTAAGATTCACATCTTTCTAATACCAAAAATAAAACGGAGAATGGTTTGAGGACGTTGAGCAATGTTTCAGCAGCTTTGTCAACTTTAAGTAATCAGTTTTCAAAGATTGCAGAATATTCTCAGTTGGACTTAAGTCCACAATTTGATTCAGCCATTCTAACACATGAATATTTTAATTTAAATCACTTTGTTGGTGCACTGGCTCTATGGTGACGGTCATTGTCCTGCTGGACGATGAACCTCCACTGTAAACTGAAAGTCTTTAACAGCCTGATGGGTTTTTTCTAGGGACTTCCTGTATTTACCTCCATCCATCGTCCCAATACAGAAAAACATGACTAATGTCAGCAGATTACATGAGCCTCAGTGGAACCTCACCTAATGGTGGTTCAGCAACAATTCACTTCAGTTGAAATTATTTGTGAAAAATTCTCCTATTAGTAAATATTCTTTGCAGCTTGGGGAGCTGAAATTCCAAGCCGCAAAACTAGTTGTACTGGATTTTATTTAAGGGTACAGGAGTAAAAGGAGACCAAATATAAATGCATGCCACAATTCTCAGATTTTCTTTTGTGGAAAACAAAATCAAAAGCAATGCATCATTTTTCTTCCACTTCATAATTATGCACCGCTTTGTGTTGTTGTCTCACATTAAATCCCTCCTTAACACATTGTAGTTTGCACTTCGATAAGGAATGAATGCAGATGCACTAAAGGGGTTAAGAAAATGCAAATGCAGGTGTGAGGGTTTGGTCTGTGTGTGCCTTAAGGGATGGCTGGGGCTGGGGCTGGGTCCCTGCATGATTCCCACTGATACCTGACGCTCTACACACACATCCGAGGCTAAATCTGACAAAAACAGCTGTAATGAATGAATGAATGAATGAATGAAATGCTAGATTACATTTTTTTAAAAGCCTTAAACTCCATGTGTAGAACTGCTCCAGTGTGAATCTTGCTGATGTCTGACTATCATACATTATTCAAAGAGCACACCGAAAATATCTGACATGGATAAAAATAACCATCCTGTCTCCGTCATATCCCCCCGTTCCCCCTTCTCCCTCTCTCTCTCTCTCTCTCTCTCTCTCTGTATCTCTCTCTCTCTGCCTCTCGCTCCCTCTCTCTCTCTCTCTGTCTCTCTCTCTCTCTACCTCTCACTCACTCACGTACATTCATACACAGACATCCCACCCAAACAGAAACCCAACAACTTTTAAAACCAGTTAAACATCCAAACATAAAAAGTTACCTTCTCCGTCCACATTGTCGGTAATCTTCATCTCCTGGTTGACTGTGAAAGACTCCGGCTCTGTGGGGGTCTTGGCTTGCTGCTGCTGGTGGTTGGTGAAGCCATCCGCGGCGCACTGGCCGTTCCGCACTGTGGCCGGCCAGGGATCCACAACCGTCGGCTCCGGGACGGGGCAGGACTCCTGGGTCACCTGGTCTTCCATTGTTTCTGCTCCTGTTTTGTGCTCAGCCTCTTGGAGTCAGAGGAAAAACGAAGATGAGGCTGGATGGAGGGGGGTGGGGGGGATAAAGAAAGAAAACTGTTCACACCGGTCCGTTAGGTGCAGCGGCCATCCAGCGCGCCCAATATGCCACCGGTTCCGAAGAGAGATTGAGAGAAGAGATGGTGATCAAAGAAGCTAAGAGGTAAAATAAGGGTTTATCTCTAAAGCATGAGAAGTAACTCCCTCGTTGAGATGTCAGCCGTGCAGGCTCGGTGAAGACCTCCTTGTCTGGCTGAAGCAGTAATTTATGGTTAGATGCGATGATGCGATAAGCTCAGATCTGCTGTGAATCTGGCAGGCGGTGCCAGTAAGTTGGTTCCCCTCCTCCTCTTCCTCCTTCTCTCCTCCTCTCATAACTGAGCATCTGATCCCCGTTCTGAGGCAGAACTCAACCCTGATAAGTAATCATCTACTTTGGGTCATTTCGCATTGGAAGACCAGACAATTAAAACGATGTTTGGTTTAATATTTCTGGCTGCAAGTCTGTAGCTTTCAATATACGAGCCACCTGCAAACTGTAAGTCAGATGGGAGAGTTTTATGTGCCAGCACAAACATGAGCCCTAACCAAACTATGAGCAGGAAACGCAGAGTCAGCATGGAGCACAGCCAACCAAGAGGTGTTTGTGCCTCATAAACAACTCCTTATCTGGGTAGAATGCAAAAAAAATGTGCAAAATTTAATCAAAAACTTATTTTTTTTTTAGTTCACGAACTAAAGTCTTACTATTTAGATTCATTACATAATAATTTGGATGTTTTTTTGATACTGAAATGTAACACACTAACACAATCACATCATTGCTAAAGAGAAAAAAAGCTGCTGTCCTTATGACCAATTTAGTGGAAGGAAAAACTGTGGTACCAAAGATTCACAAGCATGCACAACATGGCTACCTGCAGCTATTGTTTGTAAAGCAAAGCCTATTTAATTTTTTTTTTTTACAATTACCCAATACACCTATGTAACAACTACATTAGAAACCATCATTGACATTAAAATCTTGAGTTCCAATTATTTTAATGGAATTAAACTGTGATTTCTATTGTCTGTAAAATCTTTTTGAAGCAAAGTTAGTTTTTGCATTCAGAATCATATGAACATCTTCTGTTGCTCTCACTTTTTAGTTTACAGCTTGCAAAGAGATATGAATCCAGTTTGACTACTGAGTAATAACATGATATGGTTTAAATAAACGTAACTTCTTCTCAGAATTTTGTCAACTGATATTGTTAAATAATATTACAAAATCTTTACACAAAAAATAGAATTGTCCAAATCAAACTGAGATTAAACTAGAAATAAATATTATCTTTACCAAACTTGTAATCTACTGAAGTAAAGTTGGCACTTATAATTTTTCACAACATTAATGTGGCAAATTCATGGACTGTTTTCAGGAAGTGATATTGTATAACTGCGATATTATTTCCTAAGGTGTTGTTAATGTAAATGTGCCTCAGCCTCTGAAGGAACTTTGCTTTGACAAAAACCAACAAACAGTCTCTGTCAGGAATTTGTTTTCTTTTATCAGAGGCATACATGTATTTAATTTTGGGGTTTCTAACAACATATTGAACCATTATCTTTTCAGGTTTAAATTGTAATGCTTCTAAGAATATACTGTTCCAGCTGATAAGAAAAATGGTGGCACAACATCACCTCAAGTCAAAACAAGAGGGTTGAATCTCCGAGACTGGATGTATTCCAACACACAGCCAGGTGCTTCCGTAGGAAAAAAAAAACAAGTGTAATACATTATTTCTGATAAGAATACTGTCCAAGTGTTAAGCCTGATCATGCCAAAGGTGTTTACGACTACCAAACTTTGGTTTCTCTAAAATTGGTTTTAATTTTTCAGATTAGGAAAATAAATTTCATTTAATTCAGGATAGTCATGATTTTCTTGAACGTTTCATAAAATAAGTGCTGAAATGTTTTTGTTGCTAAGCAGAAAACCTATTTATACCACAAAATGAGATTCACAAAAGGACAAAACAAGTTTGAACATTTGCACATGATGAAGGATTGGATGGTTTTAGTTTTTGGCAATTTCATTTTCATTTGCAAATTAATCAAGTTCTCTAAAAGAGCTAATACCAGCAGCAGTTTCAACTAGGTAACATTTTAGTGATTTCACAACAATAATAACAAAAAGAACTGGCAAAGAAAACCCATCAAAATCCAGTTAAAAACAAGAGAGAAAATTTTAAATTTATGCTACGTGAGATTCTGATTCATGTCAATTAAAACTTTGGCTTTTAACAGAATTTGCTAACCACATTCAATCTCAATCAAAATTCATGTTTGAATCAGTTCCATTTATAGTGATAATTGTGATTCAGTCACATAGAGTACAGTTTAATCCTAATACAGTGCAATCTAAGCCAGTTGATTATATAAAGTTCTGGGAAGAAAGCAAAGCTGATTGCAAACATGTGGAAACAATGGAAAGAAAAGAAATTTCTCCGTTTACACCAGAAGACATTTCTTAGGACCTCCCACATTTTTTTATATGAATCACATTCCTTTCTTAGGGCAACAACAGGGGTTGTCTCAAGAAGGATATCCAACTTAAAACATTTGAAGAATTATTGTACAGCACAATTAACTGATTTAAAATTATTCTGAGACATCTTTAAACCCCTGACCACGCCTCTATTTGGTTTCATATAGATTAGAGTATAATTTTAGCACTTTTAAGTTGTTTTATATGAGCTGTTCTTATTTGGCGTCTTTCTTTTATATTTTTATATACTTCCATTCCTTTTCAAATATCCATACACCTTAGATAAGTAGACAGGCTTTCAAAGAGAATCCATGTAGCCATTCCTGCATGTTGTTTATCTACAAATCAGCGAAAGACCACATTTCACAAAGTATGGACCAAATGTGAACCGTGATCCCACAAGAAGCCGTTGAATGATGACGCAGAACAGCAGATACACCGTGTCCCTGTCTAATTCCGTTCTCTATCCTTGGAAAGTTTATTTTAAAACTTCTAATGAGCTCCTCTGTGACAGGACAGAAAACCGTTCCCCCCAAAATAAAGTGAGGATTGTTTTGCATCCATTGCCTCTGGTTTCTTGAAGTTTATAGCCGTCACTAATGAGATGGTGGCATCAGGCACATGAAAACACCACTAAGTGGCTGAACAGCATGTGAGTTGCAATCAACTACTCCTGTGTCAGTAAACAGCCGTCTGAAGTGTTAAATAACACATTTATCAGTGACAAGGCTTTGTTTAGTCGTCTTTTAACAATACTACTGGTTATTAATCTTGTTAAATGGGGACAATTTTCCATGAATAAGCATGAAAATACATAGACTTGTGTAACAAGAACAGACTTAAATGAAATAGGATAGATCTGAAAATGGCTCTTTAGACCTTAATGATTAGTTAAGTTATTAACTAACTAATCATTAGTTAGTTAGAGAGCTAACTATATATATATATATATATATATATATATATATATATATATATATAGCAACAAATTATTAGCACTTTTCTTGTTTTTTTTTTAATAGAATAATTGTATTGAATGTTCACAACAGAACCTCACTAAAAGTATCAGTCATAGTTTTTAATAATAGTTGGTCAGTGGCATAAATGGCAAAGGAAGTAAATAAAACATTTGACCATCATGTAAAAGTAATCTACCTGGTCATGGTGTAACAGAATACTGTGACTTTCTCACCACTACTATAAAAACAGCATCGCATCAGAAGAACCACACACATTTCAAAGACTTTATGTCCCAATAAATGTTGTTCTTTCATGTTCCGATATATGTAACTCGTTGTTTTCTAAATAAAAATTGAACAAAATAGAAAAGAGTGTGCATGTAAATATTTCACATTTTCTGTTTTTTTTTTTCATTTTAAATATTTTATTGTGTTTACAAACCTGTCAATTAAATTTAGAAATTTGCTTAGTCTTTTTTCCCTTCTATTTGTTTCTTTCTATTTGTTTATTTTATCTAAAGCAAGTAAATATTTCAGGATGTAAACATTAAGACTGTGTATTCCAATACACAAATTAATCCCCACAGAAAAATAAATGCTCCCTTTACAACACTGAAATTAATTTGTTGCTGCAATGCAAACAATGTTTTTAGGTTTATTAGTAGTAGTAAAGATATAAATTTATGATCGTACATCCCAAACTACAGTTCAGTCATACAAATGCTTTGACTTTAAGTAGATTGGGACTGGGTAATAAATGACCAGCCTGCTCCAGCAGTCATTCACCTGCCAGTCATCGATTTCCAGCTGAGAGCAGGAAGTGAGCATTAGCACAGTTTTTGAAAGGTAGCTTGTGTTGGAAGTAGACTTAAGGATGAAGGTTGATATTCATAATCACATTTTACCAAAGGAATGGCCCGACTTAAAGCAGGTAGGTGCTCTGAAATATAACCTCACAAGGGAGTGTTTTACAGCTTGAAGCCTCAACGTGAGTAAATCCACAAAATATGCTATAGAAATCTCATGCTGGGCATTTCAAATCCCATTTAGTGTATATGCTTCTGTATCTGTATCACTTCTGTTAGGTCAAATTAAGTGGCAGGAACACAAAATTGATCTTGTTTTCCCACTGACATCTTACAAGGAGATTAACAACTCACACCATAAATCTGTGCTCTCTGTGGATGGTTAAACTTTAATCAATAAGCGCTGGCCTTGGTTTATCTGTTCCTGCTCTCACGTCTTTGTTACGCTGTCTGCCGGCCTCTGCTAATGATTTGGTACAACAAGTGCAGGCCACAGAGCGTGGTCTGCAGCTTTGTCTAAAACGTCTACAGTAATCTCTATTGTTCTTTCTTTCAGCCTTCTTTCTTACTATTCTTTTAAATGCTTAGTGTTAAATGAACTCCACCTACCAATGCCAACAGTAGCATAAATTACTTTAAAATTATACAGAGAGCCTTAAGAAAAGCACAGAATAATTGTAAAATTTGTATAAAAATCAGCTATGTAGTAAATGTAATAGGTTTTAAATAAATAAATAAAAAACTAAATTTGTAAAATGATAAATATGCATTTAAATGTTACTTTACATAAGTATAAGGCTGTACTTAGTGTTATTTTAAACTGCACAGGGAGAGATTCATTATACACAGAAGGGAATATTCACATGTTGGATTGTGAGGAGCTGCATTCCCGATGAGGCTTCAGAAAAGTACACAGCTGATCTGCACTTGTGTTAATGAAGCTTGGCTGCACTGCTCACATGGATCACTTGCACTTTCATTTGTATGTAAGAAGCATCAACAGCCTCAGATGGCATTCACTTGCAGTTATTTTGAGAAGGTGGAGCAGATGCAGGACTACTGCTGAACCTCCACAGATGGGACAAACGATAAGGGCTTTCAGAGGAGCTGTGCAAGTCATACTAAACCTGTTCACACACTGATCTTTTGTCAAGATAACTTAGATTGTCAATTGCACAGCATACAGTAGAGTGGGCATGAATGCCACGATGACTTGGGTGTTTTAAAAATGTATTTGAGA